TCCATAGGTCTCTTCAAATTGGCTCATCCGTCGCAATAGCCTGTTGTTTGTAAAGGTATCATGGTTTCCGAACAACTTCAAAGGGCTGCCTGAAGACGGCATGACGTCGGTTCTTCCGGTTCCGGGTCGAGCAGCAACATGCGCAGACGATGGTCGAGGGAGCGTCGGGGGATCCGTTACTGGATTGGTCTTCTGGTAGAAAGGTGGTGAGCTACGGATTCTGTGGTTGGAAGGCAGGAACGGTGACAGTCGCTCAGAGGGAAAGGGTGGCGGTGACAGATGTAGCTTCTGGAAAGAGCCTTCGTTCAGATAGTCGTCTCGTCGCAGGTGCGCAAAAGCTCCGCGGCCCCGGAAATCCAGCGTCCCCATGGAGAGGTCCTTGGGCAGAGAATGACTCGTGACATCCAGTAGATCATCTTCCGGTAACGGGTCGACGGGAGCCTCCGACGGTTGATTTAGCAGGAAGCTATCACTTGCCGGAGAGTCGGGTCGTTCATATGGCGGCAAGTGTAGTCTTTCGAGCTTATTCGTCACTTTCTTCAACGCGGACCTTATTACTTCTGATGCAGCGTTTCCGTCCATTGTATTCGGCTGTGAGAAGGTGATAGGCGTGAAATCTTCATTTCGCATATCTTCCAATCCACTGGCTGATCTCATTTGCGTGCCATTCCAAGAATCTTCATGACCATCACCTTGGTTCAACACAAATTGCGTAGGCCCTTTCTTCACATCCAGCATCCCATTGTGCGATCCTCGGGGGCTTCCTGGAGTCGACCGGAGTTCTCCTTGATCTTGACGCGACGACTTGGTCGGGGATCGGGGGCTTTTCGGAGAGGAGGAATGGCCGGCACCCTCACCATACTCATGTTGACCAACACCAGGAGGTCCGTTCGAAGTAGCATTGTCGCGTCGTTCCGAGGACGTAGAGAAGTGCCAGACGCTATCCGAGTGTTTCATTCGGGAAATGGCCTCGTCTTGCGTTTTCTCTGTTCCGGGGGTGGGCGGCTTGAACACACTCTCGAGTCCAATTGGGGCGAAAAGATCGCGCTGTTCACCGGAAGGGATATCTCCATGGACCAGTCTCCTCCGCCATTCGGGGGTCCCTTCGCCGCCCTTGGCCTTCTTTGGTTTGATTTGAACCGTGCTTTGCTGTACCGACTGACTGGAGGCGTTCGAGACCGATCGCAACGGCGATCTCGTGTCCATGGTGGACGATTGTTTACGCCTGGACGACGGGTGTCTGGACGGTGGGTTTGGTCGCGGGCTCTTTTTCGTCTTATCGGGGACCGGAGATCGCAACTTGGACGGAGTCTTGGGGGTACGAGGGGTCTTCGGCGTGGGCGGCTCCCTTTTCACGAAATGACAGGGCCGAGAAACCTTCTTTTTATCAATAGGCGATGGCGACGGGGCGACAGAGCGACGCGCGGGAACCGGAATGCGACTAGGAGAGTTTTGTAAGCTGGACTGGCGGGAATGAGAGATGGACCGAGAGGGGACCGGGCTGGTTGGGGTTCCAGGCACAGGGACGGGCACCCAATCGTCGGAGAGTTGGTCCAGCCATGGTGGATTGTCGCTCATTTTCTGGATCGGAGGGGAGGGGGTGAGGGAGGGAGGGAGGGTGGTGGTCGCAGAAGCTGAAGCTCAGGTCGGCGCGCGTCGCGATTCACAGGACGCCAGGCGGGATGCAAGCACAGCGGAAATTAGCAGATGCAGGCGGACCATGGAGCTGAAGGATGGTGGAATGGCATCGGGGGTGGACTGCGGTGGGTTTGTTGCAGAAGGCGATGCGCAATGATGGGGGGTGTGTGTGTGTGTGGAGAGAGTATAAGCAAGGATCGAGGAGTAGCTTAGTTACAGAGGAACAATGAATGGGAGGGAGTATGTAAGTAAGATTGGGGGGGGGGAGGGGAGAGGAGAGAGAAAGAGGGAATCTACAAGTCGATAAATTGTTATTCTTGGGCGAGTGGAGATTCAGCGGCACGGGTTTAGTTGGATTCAGTTGGTTTACTGGCTTTACTGGGTTTTAGTGTCTATCGATCGAGTCGGGCTGGGCGGGTGCTCGGGGCAACCCTCCCCAGTCAATCTACGCTGGAATTAGTTAATGGTTAGCTACCTATTCTTTCTGTTGACAGGTTTTTTCTCTATAACTGCCCAACTCTAGTTCCATTGTTTGTTTCCTTGTTGTCTCCCCTTCCCCACGGTTCCTTGGTTCCAGAGAGAGGGACCCGGACTCATGGTTGATCCCCCCGTGTTTCCACCGAGATCGTGCCTCTCCTGAAACACCTGCTGCTGCACCTGGAGGATGGGGAAGAAAAAGAAAATAATAATAATAACACCTTGCGTCGGAGCAACATCTCGAAGGTAATGACAACAACAACAACAATATTTAATAATAACAAAAATATTATGGGCCATCGTAATAGCCAGCCCAACGAGACCCGCAAAGCACAACTAAAATTGCAAACACAATCAATCCCTTAACCTGAAGTGGACAATTGCAGTCTGAGTTGGCACTGGATCCCCTCACCAACCAATTGCAGTACTTCTACCAGTGACCGACTCCATCTTCTTTACGGAGTAGATTAGAGCCTAGTCTAAAGAGAGTCTGAGCATTGTGGATAGTAGGGGAAAAAGAAGTACCCAATTGTCGCCCACCGTCGATCCCTTAGGGATTCATTCGATATTAATTTTCGCGACGCAAGGAGCACAGGCTCCCTAGTAAGTAGTGAGTAGTACACAGTGGACCAGTCTCATCCGTCACGGTCTAATCTGCCCGAGTCGTCGTGTTTCCAACGCCAGACCCTGCAAGGCACGAGCTTGGTGTTTCGGGCAAATTGGATTGATAACCACTGGCTCGTGTTCGTTGTGAATATAAATCTCCCAGAGTTTGAAGTTGAGGTGAGCGCTGCGATCGTCGGATTAGAACCAATTTGTCGGTATCGGCGGATAGTCGGATTCGGAATCTTGGTATGGAGCAGTAGTAAACAACAACTATGATCATGATATATTATCGTCGTTTAGTCCATTGGCAATTCTGCACGCTGCGGAGCACTACTATTCTTAGTCCCCGTCGATTACTGGCTTTAAGAGCCCGCAAATAAGCGTATGTCTTTCGTAAACAAACCAATCGCCTCTCACTCAGGAATCAAACTACTACTACTTAATACTTCTCGGTAGTGCTGGTAGTATGCCAACACGCCTCTGGGGTTTCCATACTGCTTCAATTTCACACCTGACCATCATTTGAGTACTACTACCGTCAGTCCATACTGTTACCCATGTAGGTAGCCAAGCGCGTACACCCTTAACGAGCAGCTAATTTCCCCCGGTCCTACTAATACTACTAGTGACGCATACTATATTGATATACCAGTAGTACTAGCAATTTCAGTAAAAGGGGATTCCAAATTCACACAATGGAAGTGCCTCAACAAGCGGCTGGGTGCAGGAATCATGCAAGGAAGAGTTTCAGTACGAAAGTCGATACTAATTTCTCCCTAGTACTTGTGAATTGGAATAGTAGATATATTTATACTCCATATTATCCAGACACATCTTTTGTGTCACTGGTCCAGCTCCTGCGGCAGAGCTATCACGCCTGAGCAGAGTCCTTCCTGCCAGCCTAGACCGCACACTCTTGGAGGAAAAGAAACATACCGCTACAAAGTAGTAGACGCAAAAGTTACATTGGCAACTCTTTGGTGATCTAGCTCGCGATCATGGACGATAAAATACAGTAGCCTTCGTCAAAGACATAAGTGGACTTTTCACGTGTATGGCCCACGGTCACTCTTGATCAAGCCTGGGGGCGCTCGGGGGAAACGGTCCCCTTCACCTTGGCGGTTTCGGTTTCACCCTCGCCCTTTGCGCTCTTTCCAGGCTCATTCACGTACGGGTTGTCCGTGTTGGTGTTAGAGAGACCCTCCTGCTTGCCAGAGATGGTCGCCGAATTACCAGTCTCCTTGCGACTGGAGGGCTACATTTGGGAAGTAGTTAGTCGAGCATTCTTTCAAAACAAAGGAGCGAAATCATCGCTACTGCCGGGAGATCAATGGCTCACCTGGTCTGCCTCCGATGGCGGCTTTCCGTCCGTTGATGGCGTACCCTCCGCAGAGGAAGACGTATCTGTCTTCTGCTCTGCATCGCGATCAGGCTGAGGAGTAGCTTCACCCGCAGGGGCCTTCTCCTCCTTCTCGACGTGGTCAGCGCCGTGAGCCTCGTGGCCGTGATGAGGGGTCTTCTTGGGTCCGGACTGAAGCAGGTAGAATGCTGTTGGGACACCAAGACCCAGAGATGCGATGAGCCTAGTTGAGTTGCGTCTTTAGTCCTGTGTCCTGAACCAGTGAGACTTGACTTCAGAGAGAAGATAACTACCATGGTAGATCGGAGGACTTGGGAGCGTCATGCGATTGGGCGTAACCCCTGCGAGTGAATTGCTGTGTCGGGGGACGACGAGCTGCGACGCCGATGCCGGCACCGACGGCTCTAGCAGATGTGCGGAGGATATGAGGGCGTGCGAGAACCATTGTGAGATGAGTAGTGGCTAGATGAGAATTTTAGAAGACGGTATAGCTCAACAGACACAGTAGCAATGAGATGCGATTGACGGGAAGAAGAAGAAGGTAGCGGAAGAAGGAGAAGAAGAAGGAAGAGAAAGTATGAGGGGAAAGCAGGAGGCTGGACGGGGATGGTATGACCTAATTGAAGGCAGTCCCGGACTGGCCTTCGTTACGTTGCAATGCCATTCCTGGTCACCACTTCTTCGGAGCGGGAGCTGCCGGAGTGGCTCTCCTTCCCTGCTGCCACGGTCATGTTACCGGTTACTTACTCGCTGGTTTACTTGGTAATTAGCGTTGCTCACTATAGAGGAGCAAAGTACTCCCCATGTCCTACGACCTGTAATTACCGCGGATGATGTAATGGCACCGTGCGGGGAAGAACGCTGGCTCTCGTAGTACTTAGTTCCGTCTCGCATGGACCCTCAACATCTGAAGGGCTATGGCCACTTATCTTCCTTAGCATGGTAAGCAGGCAATATGGCCTAGTTTAAGACGTTTTACGTTCTTCTCATTTGGCCCTGTCAATGCACATTGTTGAGGTCACTGCGTGGTCCTGAATCGGTCAAGTATGAAACATGCACTGATAGTCTCAAAAGTCCGCCGTAGGAGCTTGTTCATGCCTGAGGCTGCACAAGCAGCTCCGATAACAAACACCACTTTAACTCTATCTCCTCCCCATTCATCATCCCACTTGTTGCTTCTTCGGTGGTTCTTCAGTCCCAACTTCATCCCTGATTTCGTTGCGTGACAACTTATTCCGACTGTTGTAGACAAACTCTCTCTTAGCTCCCCACTCTTTACCTTCAGGGGTTCTATTTCTTCTCAACCACCCTCCCCTATCCTGACGCCGAAACTCACTGCGGGGCTTCAACATGGCGGACCGGCAGTCGGTGCAGCACAGCCTTAACAGTCTGCTCTCTAAACTGAGCGACCCTGACCCGGACATGCGATACATGTCGCTAAATGATCTACTTGGCATTTTAAATAATCCTAATTCCACCTATCTGGCTCACGACCAAGTCTCCTCATCAAGACTGGCTGAGGGCTTGTTGAAGGCCTTGGATGACCAACATGGCGATGTCCAGAACCAAGCCCTGAAATGGTCTGTCAAAGTCCCGTCTTAAAAAGATTAACCGGCCTAACTCGATCTACATCGTCTAGTCTTGGCCCTCTTGTCCTTCGACTGCCCTTCGAAAGCCTTGCATCTCTCCTCGAAAAGCTCACAAACCTGACAGCCTCGCAAACCATTGACACATCCGTTCCGAATACTGCTCTGAGATACATTGTGACAGCTCTACCTCGGCCGCAGCCGGGTCAGCCTCCAAGCCAGGAGGCGACAATGGCATATTCGGCCGTCTCTCGCGTCCTCATTCCCCGCTTGACTGGCCCGACTCCATCCCCTACTAGTCGGCGTGGGTCGATCGTCAAGGGCATGTTAGAGAAGGATCCGTCAAAGGGCTTCAGCAGTGATGCTATTGACGTACTCATCCAGGTTGTCACTTGCTTTGGCCCCTTGCTGAAAGAGCCCGAATTGACTGCCTTGCAAAACTCCGTCCTGTCTATCGTTGATAACGATACAGCTGGCACCGTGGTCACGAAAAGGGCTCTGACGGCCATATCTGCCCTCGTGCTTCACTTCTCCGATGCTCAACTTAGCGCTTTTGTCCAGGGGCTGGTCCAAAGATTCAACTCCCCACAACTTAGTACAGTCCATCAGCGTCACCTCATTGCCACCGTCGGTGGTGTAGCGAAAAGTGCCCCGGCCAAGTTTGGTCCCCATCTTCCTACACTAGCCCCCTATGTCTTTGCTGCTGTTGGCGAGGATAACTTAGCACAAGTAAGTCGGCATCGATCCTATCTCACTTCTATAACCTTGCTCACGGCCCGGCTTTATAGTAGTCAACCGGATCCCAATATCGCTTTCCGTAGGCTCGATTGCGTGAGGGACATGATTTTGTGCTGGTAGTCCCAAGCTTTACTCCCAGAACGGCGGCTTCCCATGTAATTAGGACTCGCCTTATAGACATGATGAGCCTTCCAGTTCTCTGGGTGCCATGACCATACCCTTAATGAAAAGAAGAAAGCAATGCAATGCAGCGTCCCCCCAGTGCCCATCAATGGAGTTCCACAGCACTTCCTAGTCCTGGGAATAGTAGTCGACAAGCTTTTCGTCCAGTCAAGTCAATGATCAATGAGATAGGTTAGCGTTCCTTTCTAAGCATGGCCTGTTCTAATTCAGCCTGACCGTCATTGCAATATCTCTTCGATTGATCCTTATGAATAAGCTCCTTCCGTCGCGATGTCTCAACGCGTTCGTCGGCAGCTTCTTGCCCTGCATGCAGGGTCGTCACTTCCATTTACATCAGAAAGGCCCGGTCGTCTAAGCAGTTCTGCTACCTTGCAACCATCTTCTTCTTTTCCCTCACAGCATATCTCATCAACTGTACAAGTCTCACTGTCTACATTACTCTACAGTATACTCTGAATTACATATTATCACAATATACTATCTCAAAATGCACATGCTTCGCTTGGTTGTTTCTGGGCTTGGTCTTGTGGCATGCACGACTGCGCGCAACATCTTCAGTTTGCAGCCTAACCGTCAGGGAACTCATCTTCTGCCCCTTACTCACGGAGATGCTCCTGATCACAAGCTTGTCGAGCGTGGTTCTAGTCCTCGCTGTGGCCCTGATCATGGCAAGTGTCCTGAAGGCAAATGCTGCTCAACTGCTGGTATTTCAACCTACTTCCTTGTAGACGAGTTAGCCCGTACTGATGGCTACAGGTTATTGCGGGGACACCAAGAACCACTGCAGCTCTCCTGACTGTCAGATCGACTTTGGCAATTGCGACGCTCACACAACTCCAGGAGGCCCTCCTACGGACAAGATTCCTCGGCCTCATGTAGGCAACGTACCCTACGGCCCAAAATTCATTCGGTCTTGTACCACTCCAGGAACAATCGCCCTGACCTTTGATGATGGCCCCAAGGAATACACTCAGGACCTTCTCGATCTCCTTGACAAGTATGAAGCAAAAGTGACATTCTTTGTTACAGGAAACAACAATGCCAAGGGCGAAATTGATAGTCCTGGGATGCCTTGGGCATCTTTGATCCAACGCATGTATCGCAGTGGCCACCAAGTTGCCAGCCATACTTGGTCACATCAAGACCTTAGTAAAGTCACGCAAGATCAGCGCCGGGTTCAGCTGCTGTGGAACGAAGTTGCTCTACGCAACATTTTGGGAACAATCCCTACTTACATGCGTCCTCCGTATTCCAGCTGTACCGCGGAGTCAGGCTGTCTGGAAGATCTTGGCTCGCTCGGATATCATGTCATCCTGTACGACATCGACACTGAAGATTACAGTCATGATAGCCCGGCTCTGATCCAACAATCCAAGGACATTTTCGATCGCAACCTGGCCTCTCGGACAGATTTTGATAGGCCTTGGCTCGTCATCGCTCACGATGTCCATGAACAAACGGTCCACAACCTCACCGAGTACATGTTGAAGAAGCTTATCGCAGAGGGCTACCGCGCCGTGACGGTTGGCGAGTGTCTGGGTGATCCGCCTGAGCTCTGGTATCGTAAGGACGAGGCCTTCGACGATCGACAGACGCGAAAGTCTAAGTCCAAGAATGATGTTGCCACAACTGTATCAGTTGACGGCATGTGTGGCGGAAACATTACCTGTCTTGGGTCGCGGTTCGGTCCCTGCTGCAGTGGCACTGGTTTCTGTGGCAGCATGTCTACATTTTGCGGTTCTGGATGTCGACCTGATAATGGTAATTGCGGTGACAATGCTGGTACCGTCAAAGGCGGTGGTGCCCCCAATGCTGGTTCTGGTAAACCCACGAAACCGGCGAAGTCAGAAGGGAAGGCTTTGCAGCTAAGCTCATCGGTAGCAATTGTGATATTGTTATTCCTCGTGGTGTTGATGGATTAAGCTGATATGGTGGGCGGAAAGCCTGACCCTTCTTATATCACACAACGGCTTAGCTGTGTATACTACAGCCGGTTACGGAAGCGCATCATCTTACGCAGTGAGATGCTTTAGAAACAACTGATGGTCTGTACTTTCATTAGACTAGTCTTACAATTTGACTCATGCTATTGCATGGCACATGTTGCTTGATAGACTTGTCCCTAATATAGCATCACATCGCATGGCCCGATGAGCATAGAAAAGAAAAGTTGAACCCTTCAATCAACAAGTAAAACCACAACGCCAGATGGTATACCGCGCTACCGCGCTCCGCGCCGTCCGTAGTTCATGCCCAGTCATAGCCGAATAAACTAGTTACAAAGCACCCACGACTCATCCGTCCCCACAAGACAGAAATAATAATGATAAGCACAATGATGAAAATGATACTAAACCCCTCAATCGCAAAACACAAGCTGCTTACCCGTACAGCACATCACCGTCTGACAATCTTCAACAACGGCGCAATTCTCGCTCGCCGACTCAACCCAACCCGATAAGGTACTTTAGTCGTGGACGATATGGGACTGTGCTTCGTTGGCCCTTTACTAGGTTTAAGGGGTGTTGAGGGGGTGGGATTCTGTTCTTGTTGGGGCTGGCTCTTGTCCTCGTTCTCGTTCTCCTTCTCGGTCTCTTTCTCTTTCTCTTCCGGTGGTTGGTGGTTTGGTCCCTGCTGGAGTTGTGCGTCGTCAGGTGGTGTTAAGTTGGGATCAGGTACTGGATTGTTCTCTTTATCTGATGACGGCTGGGGATCTATAGCTGGTGCGGGTGCGGGTGGTTGTTCTTCAACAGGGTTCTTTCGTTTGCGGCCGCGCTTTTTGGGTGCTGGTGCTGGTGCTGGTGCTGGTGCTGGTGCTGGCTGTGGTTCGGCTTCGGGCTCGGGTACTGGAACTGGGCTTTGGATTGTGGGAGTGTCCTCTTCATGCTCGGGGATGTTGCCGGGTTGTTGTGTTTCTGCTTCGGTTTGGGGGGTGATCGTTGTAGGGACTGGTCGTTCGTCTACCCAAATTACGTCGTCTTCGACGTCAGATTCGTATGTTTTTGTTAGGGTTATGGAGGTGGTTTTGCCGCGTTTGAGTTTCTTCTTCTTGGGCTCCTTGGCTTGTTTCTTTGGTGGGGGTGGGTCGGTGGTGGTTGTAGTGGTTTGGTGTTCTGTTGTTGTGAGGGGGTCGGTTGAGGTGGTGGTGGTGGTGGTGGTGTCTGGAGGTATAGGGAATGCAGTGGTGTCGTTTGATATTAGTCCTGGCTGGTCGTCGTCTTCGTTGCGTGGTGGTTTGGGGTTCTTTGGGGGTCTGCCTGGCTTGCGCTTTTCGAGTTTGTTATTGGTAGTGGTAGTGGTAGTCGGGACGGTGGTGATAGTGGTTGTCGCATCTTGGATTATAGTAGGGGTGTGGATCTGGGCTAGCTCATCGTCTTCGTCGTGCTCGGGGATGCTTTGTTTCTTCTTGCGGCCTCGTTGTTTCTTCTCCGCCACGGGGATCTCGATGGTTACTGGCCCGTTGAGCTCATCGACGCTTTGGTGGGATTGCTGCACTGCGTTGTCACTTTTCGATCGGCTGGCCTTGGGGGATACCACGGATGAGAATGGTTCTGTGTCGTGTGGGGAAAAGGGGACGGGTGGGACGGAGTCAGATCGTCGGGGGGATTTGTACGCGATCTCGGTGTCGACGGTGCCGGTTGCTTGGGTAGGGATGTTAGTCTCTGGGTCAAAGCTGCCGGACGGGCGAAGAGACGATTCGAACATGTTGTAGGATGCGCCTGTCGTAACCGAGTAGCTGAAGCTCGTATGATCATTGGGCTGCGCGGTTGGCTCATGGGTATATAGGTTCGCTGCGTCAAGCGGGTGCTGTCCGGTTCCGTAGGGCAGAGTATCGGATATATCAGGCTGCGCTTCAGTATATAGGGGCGGTTGTTCCGCGTAGCCATGGGGTTGCTCATTGGGAACCAGCGCAATATCGTCATGAGGGGGAAATTCTGCAGCTATTTGTTCCTCAACAGCTGCCGATTCCGTCTGCGCGGTGTCCATGTCACCGGTGTACTGATACCCCGATTGCTCCGTATAGTGTGCTTCATCATCGTCAAATAGTCGTTGATGTGCAATTCCGATCTCCGTCATCATCGATCCTATGGATGTGGGTATGCTTGTCAGTGGTTGAACGATCATGGACTTGGTTTATTCCTCACCAATCGATCCGCCGCCCGCATTGGCCGGTATCCATCGAGCTTCTCTTCGTTGCTGGGAGGATGAGATCCCACCATGCGCGGATTCTTGCGATTGCAGAAATTGATCGAAATTAACATTCATGTGCGAGTCATGACCGGTCTGATGGGCTTGAAGATGTCCGGAACCCGCCCGGATGTCAAGATCTGTGTTATCGACTCTGGGTCGGGGGGAGATGGGCCCCGCCAAAGGATCGTCTTCATCGTCGGAGTCCTGGATCACACGACTAGAGGACATTGGTATGGCCTAGTTATACGTTCGGAAAGTAGAATTGAAGGAACATGCGATCTGGTATCATTTGATGCTATGAATCTGGGCTGGTGGTTCACTCGCGTCCCGCAAATCCGGGGAGCGGAGCGACGCGAAAGCACGTGCTGATAAGCATTTGGTGCCTGAGGTATATAAGTTCTCGGAAAGCGGGTAAAACAAGAACAGAAAACATCATGATGCATCTACATAAAGGTATCTTCCAGTTCATTACATGCCTCATCATTCCATAGTACTTTGGGGTCGCATCACACCCCGCCCGAAAAACTCACTGACAACCCCAAATCGGTCCTTGGAGCGTTGCAGTTCACCCTTGAACAGATCGTGCTGGTCTGCCGACTCAACCTGTCTCTTCCGAATGGCTTTGATAGTGGAGTTCTGCGGTGCGCAAGCAGGACATTCAGCGTCTTCATCCACTCGGTTCAGACACCGTTGATGGAATGAATGCTTGCAAAGGAAGTGCACCGTAGGAAGATCCAGGGCGCCACCACAGGACATGCACCGACGGGCCTGGAAGACAACGGGCTTACTGCCCAGTTGTTCAAGCTCTTTCCTCTTGTTCTCCGTTTCGGTGCTGTAGCTGGATATCAGGCGGCGGTTCTACATTATCATTAGCTGGAAAATTTCAATGAATACGGGGGCAACCAACAGTAGAGATTTCCTTTCGTTCCCGCTCAATGTTGTCACTGAGGTACTTCTTCAAGCGACCCATTGTGACAACTGCATTGTT